CTAGTATAAATGCATGCGTGTATATTAGTTTGTAGTTCATCATGCAGGGTTGATCTTGATCTCTAAATTAAGTATATAGTTAAATTTCAACATGGGACACACTTTACATCACACTTCAATGATCCAAACTGTCTATTTTGTAAGTCTCGATTAGTAGATTATCCTGCAAAAATTTAATTCAATCCAAAACCATTTGCCTATTATATTTATGTTATCACAATGATATTTCAATGTTTCTTATAAAACAAATTGTTCATCAATTTTTTTGAACTCTATTAGATATCTCAAAGATTTCGATTTGGCTCAGATTTTGTAAGGATGATCAAAGAATGGTTCAAATCGTTGAAATTCGATATGGTGTGAGCCCCACAACTAGTCTCCATTTAAAAATAAACTTAAAAATTAAAAAAAAGGAGGCTTTTTAGCCAAAATAATCTCTGAGATTTGCATAATTCTTCACTTTGGTCCCTGAGATTTGAAATAGATAGAATTGGTTCCTGAGTTTGTCCATATTCAAGCAGTTTGGTTATTCCGTGAAAAATCTCCATAAAATAAGAATAAAATGACAACAATACCTTCAATTTTAGTCAAATCATTTTGGCCTATTGTTTATAAAATTGAGGGTAATTTTGTCTTTTTGATCCTTATTTAATATAATTTTTCACCTAATGTTCAAAATGATTGATGGTGAACAATCTCAGGGATCACTTATATTGATTTCAAATATTAGGGACCAAAGTGAGAAGTTATACAAATCTTAGAAACCATTTTGGCTAAAAAGAGAGTTCATTCCCTTAAAAGCAACTTAGCCCCTAAAAAAAATGCACCAGCACTCAGCCAATTTAATCCACTCAGTGAACAATGATAGACTCCAATGAACAGTAATAGGCCAAATGCATCTCCACCCCTAAAAAAAAATAGCCTAGTCAATTTTATTAAAATAATAATAAAAAATAATTTTATTTTTAATTTCTGACTTTATGAAAAAATAAAATAATAATATTAATATTAAAATATTTTTATTTTCTCATCTTCCACACCTCTTCCTCGTCCCCACTGCCGTCCAGCCCTGCACTTCCTTTCCATTCCCACTACCGCCTCCAAACCTCCTCCTCCCATCCTCCGACAATGTCACCCTCCTGTCCTTTAAATCCCAAGCCGACCTCAATAACAAGCTCCTATACACCCTCAACGAGCTTCAACTACTGCATCTCCACACCTCCTGTCCTTCAAATATTTTTAATTTTTGCATCTCCACACCTCTTCATCGTCTGCTTCGTCCTCTCGTCCTTCTCTTTCTGTGGCTCCTTCCCTCCCGACACCCTCTCCCGCCTTGACCAGCTCTGCTCCTCAGCCTCCACAACAACTCCCTTTCTGGCGCAAAAAAATAAAACAAGTGGTTGACATCAACCGGCGTCATGTAGGCCGTCCTATGGGTCTGTCGATTCTAGGCCAGTCTCTTACCTAGCTTGGGTTGGGTGCAAGCTTATTAGGTTGGGCTGGAGGGTTTTTGTCACGCCTTAATCCCGACATACGTCCAGGATCGACACGTGGCATCGACCTGGGCTCTACCACATCGTGGGCTTGACTTTGCTATAGCACGATATTGTCCGCTTTGGGCCTCGACCACGCCTTCACGATTTTGTTTATGGGAACTCACATGAGAATTTCCTAGTGGGTTACCCATCATAGGATTGCTCTCGCGCGAACTCGCTTAACTTTGGAGTTCCGATGGAACCCGAAGCTAGTGAGCTCCCAAAAGGTCTCGTGCTAAATAGAGGTGGGCATGTACATATAAGGCATAAATGAGCATTTCCCCTGGGCGATGTGGGATCTAACAATCCACCCCCTTAGGGGCCCAACATCCACGTTGGCATACATCCGCCCAGGGATTGGCTCTGATACCAAATTGTCACATCCTGACCTGCGCTCCACCACATCCCGGGCTCGACTCCGACATAGCACGATATTGTCTACTTTAGGCCTCGACCACACCCTCATGGTTTTGTTTTTGGGAACTCACACGAGAACTTCTCAGTGGGTCACCCATCATGGGATTGCTCTCGCGTAAACTCACTTAACTTCGGAGTTCCAATGGAACCTGAAGCCAGTGAGCTCCCAAAATACCTCATGCTAAATGGTGGTAGGCATGTACATATAAGGCATAGATGATCTTCTCCCCTAGGCGATGTGGGATCTAACAGTTTTAGCTGGGTGCTAAGCAGTTTAGGGGATTGGGTGCCGAGCTATCAAGCCCCGGTGGATGCTCTAAAGGTCTCTTATCTACATATACACCCTTGGGCAGCACACATATGTGCAACTCATGCACCCTCTAGTCTCTAATCAACGAAAATGACTTACATTGCATAAGTATACTGTTATATTGATGTTTTGTGTTGATGAGATAAAGGTATGTATAAATGTTTGTACATATATCCTTATTTTATTGGGAAGAAAAATCTCGTATACTTATGTTATTTAAGTTCTTCTTCGAATCCACACGTGCATAATTAACTAATTCAACTGACCTAGTTTAGTGCCTGACAAAGCTCAGATTGTCGCAATTTATCCCCAACAACTCACCTCTCACAACTCAGCACTATCGCTGGGTGTGAGGAACTTTCCATCATTCCGACCCATGATATAGCTGTTGATATAAACACTGTATACGTAGCCCATTTTAGTTCCCAAGGTTGCTTACATCTACGCTACTATTAGTTTAACAGCTTATTAGTCATCTTTTATACAACAAAGTGTTGCTATATAAGAAATATTTGAAATTATAATTTCAAAATTTACTTTCTGATTCATCACTTATTAAACCGTCTCCAATTATTGAGTTAAAAATTAGAATTTTTAACTCAAAAATAATTTTTCTCCTCCAACCCTTATGGGTTACATTTTTAGCTCAGTATTATTAAAGAATGAATTTGAATAATTTTTTTCCTTAAAGTAACATTAAAAAAAAAATTATGTAGACTATCATAATTTAATTTTATGAACATTTTAACCTAAAAATATTTAGATTTTGATAAATATTAAAAAAATCACTAAACTGACCTCATGAAACTCGTGAAACACTGAGAGAATATGAAACACATAATATATTTTTTTTATTTACTTTAGCCGTTGTATTTAAATTTGGATAGCTAGATTCTTTTTTTTACTGTTGAATTTAATCATATTAAATTGTAGCCATTGGATTCAATGAATTTAAAAATATAATTAAAAAAATACTCATATGTGACATCCCACACCGTCCAGGGGAGTGATCCTTATGTGTATATTCTTATCCCTACCTAGCACGAGGCATTTTGGGAGCTCACTGGCTTCGAGTTCCATGGGAACTCCGAAGTTAAACGAGTAGTGTGACATCCCACATCGCCCAGGGGAGTGATCCTTATATGTATATTCTCATCCCTACCTAGCACGAGGGCCTTTTGGGAGCTCACTGACTTCGGGTTCCATAGGAACTCCGAAGTTAAGCGAGTAGCGCACGAGAGCACTCCCATGATGGGTGACCCACTGGGAAGTTCTCGTGTGAGTTCCCAGAAACAAAACCGTGAAGGTGTGTTGGGGGCTCAAAGCGGATAATATCGTGATACGGTGGAGTCGGGCCTGGGAAGTGGTCCCCTCCCGGGCCGGGATGTGACACATATATAATGGGCCAGCCCCACCAACCTGGGGAATCCTGGCCTAAATTTGCCCCAGAAATGAGTTTTGGGTTAAAACTCATATTTTTCCTAAAGGTTGAAGCAAGTTGAAGTAAGTTTAGAAACTCAAATTTGAGTTTTACCTAAGGATTGAAGTAGGTCTTAATACATTAGAAGAAGAAAAAAAATGAAATTCAAACTCGGACTATACTAAGATTGATAAATATTGCCACATAAAGTGGGGAATATATTAACATCTGATAAATCTGGTTTATGTATCATTCACCAACCTGTTCAAGCAATGACGAAGCTAGAAATCAATTTAAAGGGGCGACTAGTTTATTTTGACAAATGATAAAATCTACACTAAATTTATTTAAACTACAAAGTAGGGGGAGGGAAAGGATGGACCCAAACGCAGTGAGTTAAAAAACAAATGACCTATTCATCAAAATAACCCACCACTTTCGATAAATGGATGACTTCGAATAATGAGATAATGTTAAAGAATCAACAAACTAATACGCATATAAAAATAATTTTTTATTTATTTCTCCATTTTTTTTTAATCATTTTAAAAGGTGGGGTTTCGGATCTATTTTTGACCAGCTGCACCCGTTAATAGAAGTCAACTTTTGCATTTAGGTAGCGTTTGGTACGCAGACGGGACGGAACGGGATGGGACGGGACGGGACGGAACGGGACGGGACGGGACGGAACATATGTTCTGTGTTATGTTTGGTACGCGCAGGACGGAACAAGACGGTTGTTCCGTCCTGCGTTTGGTAGCACATGGACGGAACGGAACCAAAAGATTAAAATGACTAAAATACCCATGTTCCGCTGTTGTTTGGTACAATTTTATGGGCGGAACGGGACATGACTCTTTTTTTTTTTTTTTTTTTTAATTTTAATAAGTTGTTCAAATTTGAACACTATTATCCATTATTTGTTTTTCTTGGTCCAAATTTTAATAGGTATATGTTGTGTTTCACATGCAAACCCCTTTAAAATTTGTAATTTTTCCCGTTTTCTACACCTCCATTCGAATTTGTATTTGGGTTGCCTCCATGATAATTGGGAGGAACATGGTGAGCAAATTAAGGCCTTGATAGAGTGTATTAACAAATTGAAAGAAAGAGAAAAGAAGTTTTAACTAGGTCTCGAATCAAATGGATGCAGGTTGGGATTCTAACTCAAAGTTCTTTCACTAGACCACCATATAGAATAGATGATTTAATACAGTTGAAAAATTGCAAAACATAAAATATCACAACATTTTCTTCAATACACTTAAGTGGATGGAGAAATTCGCAATAAAAGAATGTGTAAAATTAATATAAGCATGCCTCAGCAAAAGCCGTGGGGCTGGATTCAATAACATCATCATCAATAGCCTCAACATCAATCGTATTAGGTGGTATGGGCTGAACTTGCAAAGTCGCTTGATTATTCTGAGGCACTGACTGAGTTGAAGTTCCCTCCTGTTCCCGACTGTCACCAGGTGGGGCACTATTGAGGTCCAAGTTCAACTCATTCTTTCTTCGCCGCCCTCTTGCATGTGGCGCCCTGGCCCCCCGAGTGCTCATGTTATATTAAATCTTGTATCCAAGTTGAAGATTTTAAAACCTACAGTTTTTTTAAGAAATGAAGTAATCTTATTCAAATACATGATTCACTTTGTCGGAAATCAAATGAAGAATTATAAAACAGAAGAAACAATAATAACATACTTTAGTATTTTCAAACCAAAGCAATAAAGGACATGACACTATGCTCTATCAGCCCATTTCCTTTCCTACAATTTTCATATCAAACAAGCCGACAATAAACTGTGCTGAACCATGCCAACGAATGATAAAACAAAAGTTTGATTATGATTCATTGTTTAACTTCGTTAACCTACCAAAAAGACTAGTGCTTCAGTTCCATGCCTCAAACCAGCACGACTAACCAAACTCTCACTACAATGTATTCAGTTCTAAAAGACCTCGGGCAAAGAATCTAGAATCGAAAACCCTAGTGGCAAAACACAGTATGGAAATTGACCGTAACCTGAATGAATTGGAAATCCTAATTGCAATCACACATTTCATCCAACTCTGTGACCAAAAAGTGATCACATTTTCACAACAAACAAAGGGCCTTCTACTAATGCAGAAATCAAATCATAATCCATCAAGAAAATTGATCATTTGCAACTGAAATTTTCAATTTCCACTTAAAAGTCCCAATTTTTGAGCACCTAACGGCTCAAAAATTGCCGACCCAGGGCTAAAATTTCCGACTTCCATCAAAATCAATTTTTTTTCTAATCCCCAAACAACACGAGATAAGAACGATACAAGCATAAAAAACCATAAAATCGCAGTACAAATAAATAATAAATTCGCAGAAAGAAACCCTAGGAAATTAAGAGGCACACCAGAATCGAGATTCAACAACGAGAAATTGAGAATCTAACCTCCGACTTCTGGAAAGCAAACGGGTTCAATAATTCGAAATTAAAATGAAAATCGTACCTTCGATCAGAGATTTTTGAGAGGGGAGGGAGTTACCACCGTCTGCCCCGAGGCACCGGGTCTGCAACCCAAAATGCAAATCCTCCGTACAGAGGAAAGAGAGAGAGAGAGAGAGAGAGAGAGAGAGAGAGAGATACCTGAGGACCACCAAGTTCGCAGAGCTGCTACACGGAAGAGGACGAGGAGGAAGGTTGCGAAGGGGACGAGGAGGAAGGTTGTGAGGCTGTACAGAAGAAGATGAGCAGGAAGGTGTTGCGAAGGGGAAAGGGCTGTAGAGGCGAAGAGAAACGGCTGAGAAGAAGAGATTTTGTTTTTAGGGTTTGTAAACTGATTTTGAAGTTGTAAATTTTGAAAAAGACCAAGGGCATTTTTGTCTAAAAATATTGGAAATTTCTGTCCCACAGACGTGGAACAACCCGTTCCAGGGTGGGGGTGTGGAACAAAAAATCATCCAAAATCTGTTCCGTGGAACAGCGCGTTCCACTCATTTTAGGCGCACCAAACGCGGGACGGAACGCCTCGTCCCACTCTGTTCCGTCCCGTCCCGCGTACCAAACGCGACCTTAGTGACACCCTCCTCCACATCAAGTCCACCTTACCTTTGAAATAAGGGTGTACATAAAAAAATAATAATAATAATAATAAAAAGCAAACAAAAATGGACGCGCATTTTCCTCTTCCTCCCTGACAGTGAGAGCCGTGAGCTCTAAACCTTGTCCTCTTCATCTACATTATTGTGCTACCTTTTTTTTTTGTCCTTAATTTAATAGCTGGCTCAGCACTGTCCTTGATCAAAAGTCTTCAGATCCTGTCCTTCCACGAACCCAAAATTTTAAAATACGCATCGCATTGTCCTACTGGCCTCTCGCTCTCTCCCCTTTTACCTTCTTTCTTTAAGTTTTCAGTCAATACCCTTCACCTCCTTCCATGCACTTTCTTCCTCCCCAACTTTTCAGCCCTATATATTCACGCCCACCTCCTCACTTCATTTCCATCCCACTCCACAAGATCTTCAGCTCCATTAAGATCCCAAATTTGATCACCCTTTTTTAGAAGGAAAAAAAAAAAAAAAAACCATGGCAGCTTTTGCAATTTTGAAACTAGTCCTTGTTATTTCTCTGTTTCATTTCAGCTCAGCAGCTAGGAACCTTGCTGAAACTTCCGACCAAAACCAAATGCAATTCCAGTACCACAACGGCCCTCTCCTCACCGGAAAACTCTCTGTCAACTTGATCTGGTACGGCCGCTTCACCCCCTCCCAGCGTGCAATCGTTTCCGATTTCCTCACCTCCCTATCCAAACCCACCTCCGACCAACCGTCCATCGCCACATGGTGGAAGTCCATAGAGAAATACTACCACCTCTCGAAAAAGCCCACTGCATCTCTCGCCCTGTCTCTGGGAACCCAAGTTCTTGATGAGAATTACTCTCTAGGAAAATCCCTCACTTCCCGCCAGATCCAACAGCTGGCCTCAAAGGGCGCCCAAAACTACGGGATCAATGTCGTTTTAACATCGTCTGATGTCCTTGTCGATGGGTTTTGCACGAACTCGTGCGGGACCCATGGATCATCCAACGGCGGTAGTCAAATCAGAGGATCAAAAACCAACAAGTTTGCTTACATTTGGGTTGGAAACTCAGAGACCCAATGCCCAGGGCAATGCGCGTGGCCGTTCCACCAGCCCATCTATGGACCCCAGAACCCACCCCTCGTGACCCCAAACAACGACGTGGGCCTGGACGGCATGGTGATCAACCTGGCTAGTCTTTTGGCGGGGACCGTGACCAACCCTTTCGGAAACGGCTACTTCCAGGGTCCGAAGGACGCTCCTTTGGAAGCTGCTTCTGCTTGCCCTGGGGTCTACGGTAAAGGGTCCTATCCTGGGTACGCTGGGGACCTACTGGTGGACCCCACCACTGGAGCTAGCTACAATGCTCATGGATCTAACGGGAAGAAGTACTTGCTTCCTGCTTTGTACGACCCTTCGACTTCCACTTGTTCTACTTTGGTTTAGAGGAAATACGAATTAATTTTAGGGTATATGTACAATACTGGAGGGAATATATACATTAGGGAGCTGTATTTTGGTGTTTAAATATTTTTTTATTCTTTTGTATCACATTGGAAAATAATAAAGCTACATTATTTTGTTCTTCTTTTAATCCTTGTCATGGTTTTATTTTGTTATCTTATCTTATGCGGGGTACGTTACAAAAATCAATCCTAATGGTACACATGGCAAAATACATATAGAATTAATCTACACCCTCAAGAGAGGTGGACAGTAATTTCTTCATGAAAATAAGCTGCAGATTACAGTATGATATTATGTATGAAAATATTTGATTAAAACCATAAAAGGATAGTTTCTCTACGCATGCCAAATTTTGATTCCTTTACAAGGGTTACGAGTTATGCGAAGGCAAGTATTGTCCAAAATTACCAAACTTAGACATAATTTCCACTTTTACTACCGAATTTATTAGTTCAAAGAAAAATAATTTTTGAAAGAACAATGCATTACGTTATGAGGTTTTTAAAGCAAGAGATCCCCATTTAAAAGAAAAATGGGGATTAGTTTGCTCACACCACATCGAATTTCAACGATCCGAACAATCTATTTTTTAAGTTGCACCTTTTCGATCATCTTTGCAAAATATTAACCAAATCAAAAATAATTGAGTTCAAAGAAATTAACCAACACTTTGTTCTATAAGAAACAATGAAATTTCATTGTGATAAATAAATAGGCAAATGGTTTTGGATTGAATTGATTTTTTGTAAGGATAATCTATGAATCGAGACTTACAAAATAGATGGTTTGAATCGTTGAAGTTTGATGCAGAGTAGGTCCCACAACTACTCTCCATTTTTTTGAAAAAAAAAATGGAGAACTCTTTCCTTAAAGGGCATGCATTATATTATATCTACACAACCTTGGGTATGGATTGATTTTAGGGTAATGCTAGGGAGACCAAAATTTTAAACCAAATTTGCAAACTAGATGATGTGTCATCGATAGAAAATAAGCACGTTAATCAATGTTTAAGTTATAATCCAATCATTAACAACTACACCATTTGGTTTAAAAAATTTGGTCTCCCTAACATTATGGCATTGACTTTAATACATAATTTGTGCAACTAGATTAGTAACATCATTGTTATCATATCATATAATATTAATTACTGGCACATATCATAATGCGTAATAAAACCGCAACATACAATAATTTTCGCACCATTGAGAAACTAGAAATACTATATACATCAACATGTTCCTCTTCTACAATGTGTAAAGAAACTAAAGATTAGTCATCAAAGTTGTTGCTAGGAGTGAGTTATAGTTTGTTAGAGAATTTTGTATACTGTTAGTTTAGTTAAGGGCATTAGTGTAATTTGCTAGAAAGTCCACATGTGTATATATAGCAAACTTTGTGTAATTATTGATGTATTCAATGAAACAGAAAATATTCAGAATTATATGGTATCAGAGCACACTCAATGATAGTGTGCTGGTAGGTTTATGTCCCTGCAACCATTATTCCTTTGAGCACACTCAACGCTGTCCAAGGAGCCAGCACCATACAAACTTGAAGCATTTGCACTCCAATTCCATAAATCTGATGACCTCCACATGCCGCATATTTGGCGGTGAGCTAGCCGACCATCCACTTGCCGACACACTCCCCAAAACCAAAGGGCCCAGAGCTATACATACCCACACACACACATATGCCTCGGACAACACATATATGCACAATTCATGCACCCTCTAGTCTCTCATCAACGAAAATAACTTACATTGTATGAGTACACAGTTATATTAACGTTTGTGTTGATGAGATAAAAATATTTATCAATTTTTGTCCACATATCTATATTTTATTGGCACGAACAAATCACGTGAGAATATATCCATGTTATTTAAGTTCTTCGAATCCACACGGGAATAATTAACTAATACAACTGAACTAGTTTAGTGCCTTCCAATGCTCAGATTGTCACAATTTAGCACCGACCACTCACCTCTCACCACTCACCACTCAACACTATCGCCGGGTGTGTAGTACTTTCCGTCTTTCCGACCCATGATATAGCTATTCATATAAACACTGTATAAGTACCCCATTTTAGTTCCCAAGGTTCTTCACCTCTACGCTACTATTAGTTCAACAGCTTAATTAGTTATCTTTTATACGAAGTGTTGCTACATAAGAAATATTTGAAATTATAATTTCAAGATTTACTTTCTGATTTATCACTTATTAGTAGACTAGTGAAATTCAGACTTAAACTTGCCACGATTGATAAATATTGCCACATAAAGTGGTGAACAGACTAACATCTGATGAATCTGGTTTATGTAGCACCAACTTGCTCAAGCAAAGACGGAGCCAAAAATCATTTTAAAAGGGCAACTTGTTTATTTGACAAACGATAGAATCTATTCTAAATTTATCTACACTACAAGGTGGGGGGAAGGTAATCTCTGACACAATTGGTTGAAGACGAATGAGCTATTCACTATAGCAACACCACGTATGATAAAAGGAGGACTTCGGATAATGAGATAAGGTTAAAAGAATCAACAAACTAATAAACATATAAAAACAATATTTTATTATTTGTCCATAAGGTGTTTTCATACGTTGTAAGCACAAATAAGAAACTTCTAAGTAGTTGTTTGGGCCCGAAATAATATTGTTGGGCCGAGCAGAAGGTTGTGCTCGGCCCAAGGCTGTGTCAAATGCTATGGGCCGAGTGATAGATTCCAGGCCAGTTAGCAGGGTCGGTCGAGTCCTATCCTAAGAAGGAGTAGTCCAGATAAACAAAAAGGGTCGAGGAAGTCCTGGTGCAACCAGGATTCCCGGCCGGCAAAGAATAAAGCCCCGGAAGAGGGGAAAGTTCAAAGTACTAGTGGGAGTAGGTTTGTTCGAAGTAAAGTTGGAACGGGACAAGGACTCCCAATCCAGATAAGGGTGCAATGCGGTCTCAAGGTATGGGGGGCTATAAATACAAGAAATCATGCAATATACAGGACCTTCGATTCAACATACAATTGCCCTGCACAAAGCCTCTCAAACATCTTGAGACTCTTCCTTTTCTTTTTCGGCCAACAAACCTTCAGTTTGGATAAACAGCACTGTGGAGGCACCCGGTGAACACCTTCAGTTTGGATAAACAGCACTGTCGCCGTAGAATCAGCTGACCGAGGAGCACTTTCAGTTTGGATAAACAGCACTGCGTCGAGGCCGACTGGTTACCTATCCAAGTCTCGGCTGAGAAGGGTTTTCGAATCCTTGTTGGCAAAGGTCACCTTGTTAGCCCTCTTGGCGTAGCAAGGTGTTACGAGTTCGTTATTCGGCGTACTGGACGCCGAGTGATTTTATGATTGGATACTCACAAGTGAGTTTTAGAGTTCGGCATTCTGACGGCCGAACTACATTCACTATCAAGACATACATCACCTTTGAGTACTTGTGTCTGTATAGTCTGGTGTCGATTTGACGTGCTTATACTCTTACGAATATAATCATAGTGACTGAATCGGGCGTCGACGATTTGTGAGCTTCGCAGAATTAGCAGCCTTGTCTTCAGGCTCTAGAACCAAAGGACCGAGAGTGTTCCTTCCTCGGTCGCAGTCGCAAGATAAAGAAGTCAACAATGCGCTCAATGCGATATCAACGAATTTTACTCCTCGGCCGAGCTCGGCCGACGAGTTGGCACGCCCCGCATTCAACCGAAGGACGTAGTTAGCTTATTAGTTACTCGGCCTGCGCGCCCCGTAGGTTTTTGTAATTTATAGGGTCAACAGTAGTATAACTACAACCTATTCATTGTATGTGTAGACTATATAAAGGAAGTCCATTGAGCCTTTCTTAAGACATAATGTGTTGAGAAAATCTCACTTTTACTCAATTTTTTTGAAGTTTGATCCGATCTATTGTTGGACTGCAAGTTTTATTCTTGGATTGGCTCATCGCTTCAGTAGCAGGTTTTGAGTACATTGAAGCTCTTAATACCATTATATACCTTAAGTAATCATATTTGACAATAAATGAGATTAAAATTGAAGAAATTTGAATAGAAATGAGATTTTCTCATCGCATCAACATCAACACAAAAAGAGCATAAGCCATAGTTTAGAACCAATTGACCTTATAATCAAGTTGGGTAGTTTTACTGAAACAAACAGATTACCAAGTTGTAAATTAAAGATGGATAATTAGGAAGGAAGCCCTAATTGTGTGATTAAGAATTAGCATGCGAAGGAATCTTAGATCACCACTATACCCACCACCACCATCTATGTTCCACACCAGCCAAACCACAGGAAAACTTAAACCTTATTAAAGGACCTAATCTATTGGCGTTTGTTATTTAACTAATTAACTTGTTGATAATCACAAGTGGGATGTGCATAATATAAAGTATTATTGCATGCTAGGTTATCTAGTGCAGTAGCTTATAAATTAAATATACGTTACAAGTCTTTGAACTTCATCAAATGGTGAGGATACACATGAAGAGGAAGGTGCAGGGAAGAAGTGTTGTCTCTCTCAAAAGTCAAAGCCAAAACCTTATGATCTGTATATGTCATCGAAAACTGAAACCCTAGGTGCTGCAGTGCTTCCTTTTAATTCATCCCAATCCCAAAGTCAAAACCCAAAACCCAAAACCCACGCGGCTGCATTTAAAAACACGCCCATCACTCACTCACTCACTCAACCCACCTGTCCCTGACTGTCCCCCATACCACACGTACGTCCCCTCCTTCCTCTGTATAAATACTCCCCCATCTCTTTCAGGCATTCGCAGACACCTTACAGTCATCACTTAACAAATACAACTGCTCAAACCCTCCTCGTCAATGGCTTTTACTTCCCATTTGGCCATCTGGGTCCCATTTTTATTTACCATTTCTTCCTTCCTCAGCCCCTGTACAGCCACCATGCGCAAGCTCTCAGCTTTAGTGCAGCAACAGCCGCTTGTGCTCAATTACCACAAAGGTCCACTCCTTAAGGGGAACCTCGCCGTCAATATCGTATGGTACGGCAAGTTCTCCCCCAGCCAACGGTCCATACTAGTCGACTTTGTTCAGTCTCTGAGCTCCGGCCAGCGCACCTCACAGCCCTCCGTCTCGTCGTGGTGGCAGACTACTGGAGGATACAAAGGAGGCCCCTCTACCCCCACCGTAGGGAATCAAATCCTGGACGAAACTTACTCTCTCGGAAAAGTACTCACAGATCAAAAACTCGTAGCTCTGGCAGCCAAAGCATCAAAAGGCCAAAACGCAGCGATTAACGTCGTTTTGACCGGTGCCGACGTGACAGTTGACGGGTTCTGTAGCAGCCGCTGCGGCTCCCACGGATCGGGAATTGAGGGGAGAAAGACGGGCAAGCTGGCTTACGCTTGGGTGGGCAACCCGGCGAGCCAGTGTCCGGGTCAGTGCGCATGGCCATTTCACCAGCCAATTTACGGGCCGCAGACGCCTCCGTTAGTTCCTCCAAACGGCGATGTGGGGATCGACGGAATGGTTATCAGTTTGGCTACGGTTTTGGCGGGAGCCGTGACAAACCCGTTTGAAAACGGATATTTTCAGGGATCAAAAGACGCGCCTTTGGAGGCTGTGAGCGCGTGCACGGGTATATTTGGGAAGGGGGCTTACCCGGGTTATCCTGGAGACGTTATTCGGGACAAAACGACGGGAGTTAGCTACAATGCGTTTGGGGTACGTGGACGCAAATATTTGCTCCCGGCGATGTGGGACCCACAGACCTCCACGTGCAAAACACTCGTTTGAGACGTGTGCGTGTCGCTAGAACACTTTCATGAAGTTGTGAGAGTTACACTACAAAGTATTTTGTTGAAAAAAATAAATCATGTAAATTTGTATAGTATGCACATTTCGGAGGTTGTTTGGTATATATCAAATAATTTATTGTAATTTGGAAAAATTGGAGTAAAATTAAGAAATATCTCAAAAGTATATATGTTAGAATCGCTAAGCACTTGTAAGTACTTGTCTAAAAAGCGTTAAGCATTGGTAAGTTCGTTTCCATAAATTAGTAACAAGGGTTTTCTTTTAACCCATCACCATTCCAAAAGCATTTTGGAACATGAGTTGGGATCAACAGTCGAAAATAACCAAACAAAAATGAAGTTTTAATCCGAAATGTGAACCCATCTTATCTAGACCAACCACCTTTGTAGTAGGAGTGATTTCGGACCGGACAAGTCTCGGGCCTCAACGTGAATGCTCCAAAATTGTTTGGCCTTCAAGTCACTTAACAAGAAGCAAGTGAAGATGACTATCCAATTGGAATTGGGCTTAACATCATCCCTTGCAACCTAGACAGATCAACACTTTTTCTTCACTTTAATTTGATTCCTAGAGAGATCGGCAGAGACCACCACAATCGAACCACCAAGAGTGATCAACGGAGAACAATAGAGGTGGAGAGAAGTAGAGAGAAGAAGAAAAAAAATCTCACATTAGTGGAAGATGGTGAATTTCGTTTTGGATTAAAATTTGCAATTTATTGGACTTCTATTTTTGAGAAATCCAGCCAGTATGGGTGAAAATTGCAGTAGAGCGAAGGAGAGAGAGATGTCAATTCAGTGAGAGGAGAAAACATAGAAGCCGTTAGATTCAATTTTTAAAGTGGATTTTTTGTAATTTACTAGGCTTAGTTGGTTTCTTTCTTATTTTTAATGGAAGTATGAGTGACAAATATATATGAGGGTAGATTATATATATATAATATATATGAGAGTAGATTCGTGACAACATTTTTTTACATAAGTATTTGTGAGGCTTCCTCTGTAATGTATTTTAACATTTGGATAGTCTAATTTTTCAGAATATCATTCATAAATTATTCTTACAAAAAAAAAAAATATATATATATATATATATATATATATATATAAATCCAAAACCATTAACACATTGACTTGTAAGGAAGAAAATGAACGAATACCGTTCTACAAAAAAAACCTAAACCCTTATTCCAACTATTTATGGTTTAGATGTGGATGATTTTCTTTTCAATACATAATTATTTGGATTATACAATAAATTGCACTCATAAGAACATCTTTAGATGAGATGTCAAATTTTAAACATAAAAATTTATATTTAAAGCTTACGTGGCACTTTGATTCTTTTTTTTTTTTAAATTTTGTTCTCTACCCAACATGTTAAATTTTTTGAAGGCCTATTTGACTAAATTATATAAAGGACATAGAGGGAGAGGGGCCGGCGGCAACAAAGAGAGAAGAGAGATATGTAATTCTGAGGTGTGTTCTACTCCACTAGGATAATATCTAATCTAAGAGATATGGTAGAATCCCATAAGGATATCGTAGATATGTTAGGATTTACAAAATTACATTCCTAATCTAATAGGACTGCAACACTTCCCCTTGGGTGTGTAAATACTCAAACAAATGGCGTATCAGGTCTTTAGCGATGAAGTAGATCAGTTGATGAAGTTGTCGGCGCGAATGCAAGTCTCAAATCAACGGAAGAAAGCATAAAAAGGTAAAACTCACAAAACCTCGATATGGTAAAACCCCAAGGTAGGAGAAACCCATAGGCTAAGGAGAAAAGTGAGAAGTGGCACTAAGTCAAAACTATACGTCTTCTGGATGCAAGTAGAAGAGCTCACAAAGGTATGATCAGCCCAGGATGGGTGCCTCGTTAAAACCTAGTTAGGTAGCAAAAATCTAGTGGGCAAAATGATCCTAATCATAGGAAAAAAAAGTACATTAAGATTAAGTGAGTATACTTCTGGATACTCCCCTTGAGTTTGACAAAACTTCCAAATGGGAACTACAAGCATTGCATATGAATGTTTAGGCACACCAATTCCTCGGACAAGCTTTTGGAAGGTTGACTTGGGCAGTGACGTCGTGTAGAAGTCGGTTAGGTTGTCTGGGATCGGCTTGCATGACTTCAATCTCCTAATGCTTTGCTGATGTAGATGTAGATACAATATGTCTTGGCGTTGACTCCATTAATGTATCATGTCTTGGTCAGGTGGATACATATGGCATAGTCTTCATGGATCATTGTTAGGACTTAACGATGGATGAAAACAACAAGTACTTCGAATATACTCAACAAGAACTCCTAACCATGTCTCACTTGTGGCATAGTGAAGTGAGGTGAATGTTGGAATGTTTCGAAGATTTCACAACTAAGGTCAAATCGTGGACCTCCAAGATATTGCATGGAATGCACACCTAAATCGAGTAAATATGAAGCGTCAGGTTCATACCCAGTAACCAATTGTAACGTCGAATAGGTTGGGTGGCAATGGGCATCAAGGCAGACCAACATAACTGCGTACAAGATTGCATAGCCTTAGGCAGAAACCGAAAAAAGCTTGGTACGTTCACCAAGGTCCGGGTGATCATTTAAATTGCAATTTATGATCACTAAGCAAAGCTATTTGGGGGTGAACATATGAATTTGATGTTCAATTATAAACCCAAAAAACATGTAATACTTTATCAAAAACCGTCGATATAAACTCTCCGGCATTATCCAGTCGCCCAGACTTTAGGGAATAAATAGGGTGGTGAACCCTTAAAATTGGCCAGAAGGTTTAGCAGCAATGTGTGTGTGGATAAACATGTGACCAGTTTATCGATTCATCAACCAAAACCATAAGTATTTATATGGTCCGCATTTTGGTTGGATTAATCCACATATATTCCCTTGAATCCACTATGAAAAGAGGGTCACTTTGTATCTTTGCGAGGGATGATGTAGAAAATCAATTTCTCCAACAAGCAAGCTTGGCAAATTGTGCTTGTAGGCACAAAATCCTTACTTCAAGTAAGGAGATGCATCATAGCATCATTGTTCGACCTAAATGTCCCATATGACCATGCTAAAGCAAGTAAACTGTTCAATTACCCAGCTCCAGGCCGGCCACATGTGGCGTGTTTCCAGTTGGGAGACAGCCCCATTGGCCTTAAATCAAAGCTTCAGGCTCATTTTGCAAAGATATTTCACTCTATTTTCTTCAGTGGTTTCATTCGTGATCATTGTCATCTCGAACATCCTTTAAAACTCAACGACGTTCTTCCGAAACGGGGAGAATATAAGGTATATGATATGGTAATTCCGTACCATTCATACAACGAGGAGCATGTCAATGCTCTTAATCAGGTTGGATAGACCTGAAGTCGTTGCTAGAGATGTGATTTAGGTATAAAGTTAGTGTGCGTAGTATCACATTCATCCAGACAACTAACTTTCCCACATTCCTACGTAATCACATGTTTAATTGAATTCGGTCACATGTATACAAGAAACATGATTCAATTAACTTGTATTCAAGGACAATATCAATAAGATTATCCATAGCTAAAACATACACCAAACTTAAATCCAAGAACATGGAAAAATGTTCACAAAGTAAACCAAAGTTACTAGGGTGGATTCAGCCAACAAGGCCATTCATGTCAAAATTATGCTCTTCCAACGGTGTTCAATGAAGCAAAATTAGTCTCACATAGTGACTACTAGAATGGTACTCCTTAACAACATCGATAAGGGCACGAACAGGTGCATAACCAATGATCTATTCCATCAAGACGGAAGTAAATTCTACAGGGTTAAGGTTTAGGAATACTATCATTTATTCTTGAAGTTTTAGGTCTTAGGTGCCAAGGATCATGCTTCGGGCATGATGCCACACCTTGGCAGGCCCTGATTCTATCATGCGTTGTAAAAACAAACTTAAAATTGGATTGTGAGAGAGACCAAGGTCTAAAATATCGATGATATCAGAAATATCGGTAGTCCAAAAACACAGAAATTTCAATGGAAATATCGGGATATTATCGATATCGATAAAAATTGAATAAAACCCATGGAAATTGTAAGAAAACCTTGGAAATTTTTATTGAAACTTTGCAGGATGTTTATTTAGTCAATTATCAATTAGTTTATCACAAAAAATTGGAAGGAAATGCATTGCATGATGGATTTAACTGATTTAAGTTGATTATATAGCGAGCTGGCAAACATTGTGAGTGTAGAAAATATGTAATAATTAATGAAAGAAGTTTAAACACACCATAATCATTTATATATAATGAATTAGTACAATATTTTACACTTTATACATTGCTTGGTAAGATACATGAGTGACTTTGAGGTTCAAAATTTTCAATATCTTCATCATCTCTATGTGTAGAGTAAGTGTATTGTGAAGAGTAGTCATCAAATGATAATCCCTAAAATAGTTTTGCATGTAATTGTTAACATACCACCCATATGGATCCAAGATTGGTTGATGTTGTCCATAAGCAAAATCATTTGAAGATTGAGTCTCGAATTCTTTCCATGAGTCGCTCGATTCCATCCCAACAGGAATGGGATATGAAGGGTAGGGAAATGGTTAGTTATGAGTATAACCATAGTTACTACTTCCCACTCCAAGAGAGTCTGAAGTTATAGATAACGAGTCATCTTCTTGACTTGACAAAGTCCCCTTGCCTTTTTCTCTACGAGTATAGTCCTTCCCTATGACACCAATTCCTGGTCCTGCCCGCCTACTGCCATGGTCCTTATCCTGTGTTGCATGCGTGAAGTTTGCCTCACCAGTGAAGAGGCTCATAAATCCAAGAGGTGGTCCAACATAGTTTCCATATCCACCACTACCTCCAGCTCCACTATATCATTCATTATTCCCACCTCTGATGGTAGGTGAGTCTCCTGATCTTGTACTAGAGTTATCATTAGTATCAGCAGGATCTTGTGGTTGTGTAGGATTGGAAGAAGGTGGAATTCTAGTGTTTCTTGGTCTTGGGCGCAAAAGTTCTTCCAAAGAGTCAGCACTGCTAGATCCCACCTCCTCCTCTAATACTCTTTCTACATTTATCCCTTCATTACGTGCTTCTTCAGCAACTCTTAGAGCTGGGTTGCCTTCATCATCATCTAAATGAAGATGTCTAATCCATTGATAA